GCAAATTGTGCTTTTTGCGGCTGTTCATGATTTAAATATTGAACAAGGGGTGCCACTTGTTAACTCAAAGGCTGTATCAGGCTTAAAGCAACCTATCTAGGGCTGAATTCAAAATGGGGATATAGTGCCCTATTTTAAGTTTCAAAGTTTTCAAAGGATGTACCTTAAAGTATCCATTTGACTCACCCAAACATGCAAAATGTTTTGATCCTATCTACTCTGGTAGGTCTGAAGGCTACAACAGAGGTTATAGTGGTAGTAAGGTCCCAGGAAGTCCTCAATTTTTATCCCCAGGACAGAATTGGGATACCCAATTAAACCTATTCTTAGATAAACCAGCATCTTCACAAGGCAGCCTGGCCTACACCTCACCTGTTCCAAACCAGCCGTGTAGAAGCTTATGCCACGAATCTCATTCTACAGCATGGGTCTCCAACCTTGGCACCTTTAAGACTTGTGGACTTCAATTCCCAGAATTCAGTGGTGCTGGCTGGGGAATTCTGGGAGTTGAAGTCCACAAGTCTTAAAAGTTGCCAAGGTTGGAGAGCCCTGTTCTACACAGCCAGCTATAAATAGATACAACACAAATCGAATATTCATTTGAGAAGATACTTTCTTACAGTGAGGTTACCTCCTTCCCACCCTCCCCGGATTGTTCTGCTGTCAATTTCTGTAACTTCCTGGGATAATGGAAAAAAACATTTAATCGGCCAAGTTACTTGGAAAGATATAAATAACACACGGGGGGCAACTACAGGACACCAAAAATGCGCTCTTTGGTCAATAAACTTTTTACGGCCAAGTTTGGTACTCTGCACCCCCTCGGAAAAAGTGCTGGTTAGATATTGGGAGAGGGGAGGGGCGGTGCCAAACCAGATTAAGCCCCAACTCTACTCGATTTGAAGTAAATCACACAGGCCCAGCAACTTAAGACCCTGGAAGGCTACAGAGCGTGTCTTTATTATTCCCCCTTGTAACTAAGGCCTCTGCTTTTTGTCTCTGGAAGATGTAAACACATTTGCTGCAGCCATATATAGAGAGAACCGAGCTGGTCTATTTAGACAAGAAACTTCCTACCTTGGCTGCATTCACAGATTTTGCTAAGCTACAAAGCAGTTGGGTGTCATACATAGTGCTAAAGCATTGTACGTGGTTATTTGGGGGCACAGTGTCCCTTTTAGAAATCTGCTATTGTGACTTGTCACTCAACGTTTGGATTAGCGTGTTGTGTGAATTCAAACAGTGGTTAAACAAACTACGGCTTATAAGGTTGTTCCACACCTACCCTTGAGAATTGCCAACCCACAAACTAACAGGCTATTTTAATTGGGTGCTGCAACTCCAGTAAACCATGATTAAACTGGTAGCAAATGGGTTCACACAGTGTAAATCACTACATTGAAAGGACCCCTTAACCAATCGTTAGTATAGCCATTCTAGATAGGTTGGACTCCCGCTCCCATAACCCTCAGCCATAACAATATAATACTACCATGGCAATTCAAATGGAACACTTGGAGAGGACCACTTGGAGAAATCTTAACAGAATTCTGAACTCCTCCTTCCTGAAATCATGTAACTCAAGAGGAACATGAAGGCCAACATAGACAACGATGAAGATTGGTGGGGGCTGTGGTCCAACCTTGTATCTGATCTTATCTGATGCTTGAAATAGTACAAAGATCAGCACTCAGGCCTTGGTTTTCAACAGAAGGTCTCTTAGAACTCAAAATACACATAGCATCCCAACCATATTCATTCTCATATGTCATCGAGATTTCGAGATGTGTGATGTTGTATTTAGTGTGTTGGATCTGGATCAAGGAGTCCCAGATTCAGGTCTATCCTCAACTCAGAATTGCTATGGAGACAGGAAGAAGTACTATGTAAGCCAGGGGTCCCCAACCTTGGCAACTTGTGGACTTCAACTCCCAGAATTTCTCAGCCAGCATGGAGATACTAAACTAAAGCATGGAGTTGCAGCATGGCTGGCTAAGGAATTCTGGGAGTTGAAGTCCACAAGTCATAAAATTGCCAAGGCCGGAGACCCCTGATGTAGGCCAACCGGAACTCCCAGAAGCTAGCAAGGATCTCCCAGATCAAAGCTGGCTGGGGAATTTTGGGAGTTGAAGTCCTCCAGGCTTAAAGTGGCCAAGGTTGGAGACCCCTGTCCCAGAGGACCTTCAACCCTGTTAGCCTTCTTGTAAAGCTCTGAAGATCTGGCTGTCCCTCCCAGTCTTTTGGGCTAGCTAGAAGGTTAGGCGAGTCCTGCCGATGACAAAGCTTTTTATTCTGAGGGTTATTTTAAGCAGAGTGTCATGACTTATGTACTTCTAGGGTGGTTTTAATCTTACAGGGTTCAATCCTAGCAATCTCCAGGTAGGATTAAAAAAAAAAATCTAGCTTGAAATTTTGAAGAACGGTTGCCATCCCTAGATGCAAATGTGACATCACTTATGTTCCTTTTTCATTTGTCCTCTTTCGGTATTTCTTTAAGGGAAACGTCTTATCTACTCACAGCAATTATCAAAAGGATTAGAACTGCCCACAGAAAGATTATCTTGCAGCCAAAGGGAACCCCTCCTCTGCTTTGATTACTGCAAATGGAAACATATTGTTCTTAAACATTTTAGTGTGTAACCAATTTGTGAATGTGCCTCCTATGGGGAAATTTATTTAAGGAGGTTTTTCCCCCCCCCTCCCAAAGAAAGCTTGTTTTATCTTTATTCTCTCTTCCAAAAAAAAAAAAGCATGCAAGGCAGCCTCTGTGGGAAGCAGGTTCCCTTAATTGTCAGGTTTACCAAAATGCTATAATTTTTCCACTTGCAAATTGTGGAAATGGAATCCCATGGAAATTATGGGTCCCCAGAATCTCCCAGAAATTAAAGCATACCTATACGAGCTGAATGTACTTTCAGGTAGTCTATGCTCAATAAGAAGGAGGTCGTGAGTTCTTTTCTCTGACTGCCAGGACAAAGAAATACGCCAGTCCTGCCCTTACATGCAAATGAATGATCTAAATTAGAGGCAGCACTGATATTTACATGGACCACAAACCAAGGTTCAGGTAGCAGTCTACCAGCATTTAAAAAAAAAAACCTCAAGCACACACTAAACTTTATTTAGAACATCTGTACATCCAAACGGAAGATTCACGAAGTGATTGCAGGATATTTAATGCGGGTTTAAATAAGCACCTTGCAGACCGATTGATTTTGGCCTGTTGACTGATTGACAGACAGAGGAATCGTTTCTTCCTCCTGGCATAAACACACAAACCCCACAAACGAAGGCATCAGAAATAGCCTGAACGAAAGATGCACAGTAGAACATCAGCCTTGGAACTCTCTCTTCATAAACAGTAGCACAAATATCACCTTCTAGCATATCCCGTTGTCACTGCAGTTAAAAGCAAGTTTCAGGTGTGATGTTACCTAACCCTATGCATCCCACCTATATGGCTACATCAGAAAATGGTATTTTAAGAGCATTTTTCATACATCAGGACAAAAGACTGCCAGGTCCCCGCCAAGCATTCTCAGAGGTTAATTCCATTACGGCAATACGCCTGGTAGGAATTCACCATTCGTTAAGGAATTGGATCAGAATTGGTCGCCATTCTGAACAAACGAAGCCACTGTTTTTCAGAGGGTCAGGAAGGAACCGAAGGTTGTGCTTTTCCTAAACAGAGGTCAGCTCAGTCTTAAGACCAGGAGCCGTTTTCCCTTTAAGAACTAATTAGTAATCATAAGCTAGGTTTTGACCAGGTTTAGCAACATCACAGCATCTATGGAGCAAAAGCAAAACGACTGCAGCTTTCTTTGTAGGTGGTGGTCGATACAATTGAAGTGGTATATTTCATACAGGAGAGATGCTGGGAGGGAGGGAAAAAAATCACCAATCCACCATCACTCCCAAGCTGGTCTACTAGCAGTCACAAGGGTTAGTCAACTTCTCTAGTCAAGTTGCTTCTTCCATCTCTGACCAGATTCCGATAGTTTTCAGGGCTGCGGTTCGATTGTGGCTTTATAAGAAAAACATACCCAGCTTTCCAAAAAGTAGGAAACAGGAAACTCTTATCGTTTCCCCAACAACTCTACCCCACCTCCAACCACCCCAGAAAAGGAGCTCTTAAGTCCCCAAAACATCCCTCCACCGAAATTTAGCTTTTGCGGGGCAATGCTGGTTTAGAGACAGCAGAAGGCGAGGGACGGGGGGGGGGGGGGGAAGCGGCGGTGAAGAGGGGGGGGCACGTCTGAAGAAAGCAACCTCCCCTTTGGGGAGCCCAAAGCCATCCTCAGCCAGCATGCAGAGGCTGCAGTGGGGGGGGGGGAGAAGGGGAAGAAACATCTGGCGGGCAAAGCCCAGCCTCCATATTGGCCAATTCTACCTACCTTCCTAAGTCCCCCCCCCACTTTCACCAGATGGTGGGAGAAAAAGAGCCCAAAAGGGGCATGGGGGAGGGGGTGGGCAGGAGGGCTGAGATGGGGGGGGATTTCAGAGGAAAGCAACCCAAAAGAAGCACCTGGGGAAGGGGGGAAGGAGGACTGGGGGGACCTGGAGGAAAAGAGCCCAAAAGGGGCATGGGGGAGGGGGGGCAGGAGGGCTGAGATGGGGGGGGGAATCCAGAGGAAAGCAACCCCCAAAGAAGCACCTGGAGGGGGGAAGGAGGCCTGGGGGACCTGGAGGAAAAGAGCCCAAAAGGGGCACCTGGGAGGGGAGGGGGGCTGCAGGGAAGGCTGGGAGGGGGGGCAAATCACCCGAGACCAGGAGGAGCCCCCAAAACCTCTCGTCCATCCCTCTCCGACTACACGGAGGACCCCCAGACGGCAGTGGGGAGTGGGGAGGGGGGGGGGGGCTTCCTGGAGCCCTGGCCAGGCAGAAGAAGCGCCCAGCTCCCGAGGGCCCCCCCCCGGGTGGGTCCCTTCAGCCCCGCAGCGAAGCCTCGCCGCCCGCTCCCCCTTCCCCTTCCCCTTCCCCGTCGGTCCGTGGGCGCTTACCTCCTCCTCGAGGCTGCTGCTGCTGTGCTCGCTCTCCTTGGCCAGGTTGCTCATGGTGGGTGCGGAGGGCGGCCGGCCGGGGCGCGGGGCAGGCGGGGCGGGGGGGGGGGAGGTGAGGCTCGCGGGCGCCGCTCCGAGGTGGCTGCTTCGCCTGGCCGACGGCGGCGGCGGCTTCTTCTTCTTCCTCCCCTCCGGGCTGGCTGGCTGCGTGAGGGGAGCGGAGGGGCCGCGGGGCTCCTGCCGGACGGGGCTGCGGCTGCGGCTGCTGCTCTTGCCGGGGCTGCGGGCGCCGCGGGGCGAGGCGAGGCGAGGTGAGGCAGGTGGCGGGGCGGGGGTGGCCGGGCTTGCGGGGGGCCCCGAGGTGCGCGAGTGCGGTGCAGGTTGGGGCGGGGCACGAGCGCGCCTTATTGGACGCCGCCCCGGGCTCGCGGCCAGCTGGACGCCGCTGCCGGCCAATGAGAGGCCGAGGGGCCAACGAGCTGCAGCTGCTGCCGCCGGGGCCCGCCAGCAAACACACTCACACACACACACACTCACACTGACAGACAGAGCCCCGCAGCAGAGCGCGCGCCCGGCTGGGGTGGGGAGGTGTGGCCGAGACGGCGACCCGGGGGCGGGGGCGGGGCCCCTCTCGCCGTCTCCAGGGCAACCCGCCGGCCAATCCCCGCCTCCGCCTTGCCCAAAACTTTCGACGGTCCGTCGCGCGCCCTCCCTCCCACCGCGGAACTTTTTAAACTTTGATGAACTTCCTTAAAGGGCTCGCGCGCTTTTCCCGCCGCCCACCGGCAGCCGCCTCTCGCTCGCTCAGCCCACGGCCACGCGCTCCCGGGAGACGGCGGGAGGGAGGGGGGACTAAAAGGGAGCCGGGCGGGAAAAGAGGGGTTGTTCCCCCCCCCCACAGTTATCTTCTTCTTCTTCTTCTTCTTCTTCTTCTTCTTCTTCATTATATTATTATTATTATTATTATTATTATTATTATTATTATTATTATTATTATTATATACACAAAATGACAGTATACACAGCAAACGAGATAACCATGCTGGATTTCGTATCACAAATTATTATTATTACTATTACTATTACTATTATTATTAGTAGTAGTAGTATTAGTATTAGTATTAGTATTAGTATTATTATTTAATCTTTAGTGAGATTCACAGCCTTTGAGGCTGGTTAATAGCTCAGCAGCTCGAGTCCTAACCAAGGACCTAGGAACTCTTAAGGTATCGTCGGAGGATGTAAACTGTTCCGAGTAAGGTGGTTTTTTGTATGATGATGATGAAGATGATGATGATGATGATGTCGTTTGGCAAGGTAGCAAAGGGACAGAAAAATCCTGGTGTGGATGCTTTTGGGAGCGGGGGGGGGGCGTGGATGGCGAGGGATCTTTTTTCCTCGCAGGTGGAAAGGAAAAAGGGCTCTTTTGGAAACGCGGGAGCTGCGTTCTCACGACCCGCCGAAACCAGCGACCCCCGTTTTTTTAGCCGGTTTGGCTAAATGCGTGCGAAGGCGACTCCCTGGGTGGTGTGTTTGTCAATGAGCGGGGCAAACCCCCAGAACTGGGGAAACGCAATGCGGAGGGTGGGGGTTGGGGGGTGAGAAGGCATCGTGGGAACGCGGCCATCGGAGAGATGGAAGGTACCCCCGTTACTGCATCCCTATCGTGGTTTGTTTGGGGGCTTTGGATTTACACGTTATAGTTGGATTTAAAAAAAATGAAACAAGCGCTCCAAAAAAAAAACGAGCTTGCGATCGGGAGACGATATGAAATAGATTTCGTTGTCAATTCGCTTTTTTCTTCTTTTTTTTTTAGCCGAAATTCCTCCCTGCCTTGAAATGCCTCTCTTTGAAAGGTGCCCAATTCGCCCCATTGTTTCCATTACGGGAAGCGGCGAAATCACGTTCCCTCCGCGACTTTCTCGGACCCAGGACTCGGGTTTGCTCCTCCTTCCGTCCCACTTCGGGGTTTTCCTCTGAACTGGGCTCGATTCCCGTTGCTTTCCGTGAAAGCTCCGCATCTTTTCCCCTGGGAACAATACCATCGTCCGCCGTAGACTTCTTTCTGAATATTTTTTTCCCCTCCGATTTCCTACTGAAATCCTACGGCCCTGGGCTTTCCTCGTGGTGTCCCATCCAGGCTGTAACCAGCTCTGGCTTTGTTTCCCTTTGTTTCCCCCCTCCAGATAAGCCAGGGTCACTTTGATGAAAACAATTCCTAGAATCTGCTCGTAGGATTTGCAACCTTCGTCGATTTTATTCCGTTTCCTTTATCTATACGGATTACCACCGTCGGAACGGAAAAGCAACACGCGTCTTCTAACCCAATTGGAGTCGGGTAAATTGCAAGTTTGGGGTTTAAGAATTCGCGGGGCGAATTCTGCCAGTTGTGGTCGAAACTATAGTTTAGCGCGACTATTTCCTTGCGGGTCTAATCCTAGTTGGCCAAATAAAGTACTCAGTTCAATTCATTTCAGTTCTGAAGTCAAGCGCGTAACGAACCCCGGTTGTCTGGGGGAGCTGGAGAATGGGGCGCCAAGAAAGCAACGATGGAGCAACGGAGGAGGAATTCTGGGTACCAGAAAAAGGCTGGCCTTCCTTTGGAGTTTCAACGAAGGGATCCGTTTCCCAAGTGTTTTTGTTTTTTCAAGAAGCCACTGGACTTTCTGGTTTTTCTTTGAAGACGTTTCGCTTCCCATCCAAGAAGCTTCTTTAGCTCTGACTGGATGGTGGGGAACGGAAGGATAACCAGTAACTCTTTCACCGTCTAGATTATTTGCTAAGAATCTAGTTGTAAAGTATCTTTGTAGGTAGATTCCTGCCAAACAACCTCTGGTTGAAAGATCCTTCCATTTCCCACCATCCAGTCAGAGCTGAAGAAGCTTCTTGGATCAGAAGCGAAACGTCTTCAAAGAAAAATCAGAAAGTCCAGTGGCCTCCTGAAAAAAAAAAGCACCTTGGGACAACCATAGATGGCTGAGAATCTCCATAGACATTTCCCCAAATGGGATATGCCAAATCTGTTTAGGCCACCCGCCAACGAGCCGAGAGGGCGGCTCTCGTTGGACTCTAGCATTTAAAAGTGCCAGGGGGAGCGAGTCTGCACGTCGGAACGCTTCTCCACGCGAAAGCCGACCCGCCTCGGTTCTGAGAGAGATCGCGGGGTTCATCCGTTGCAGGAAAACCCCAAAGGGCTCTCCTGCCCCTAAAAGCTCGGCCAATTTGGGGGGGCATTGTGCCCACCCCATCTGTAACCCTGTTTCCCCCCCCCGCAGGCGGGGGGAATGGGGGGCCTCTGCCTTTTTGCAATCCCGAGCAAACGCCTCTTCTTTATAGTTAATTCCGATGATGGTGGGGGGCGTCCTTGTGGGAAGGAAGAAGGCTCTCCGCACATGCTCAGGAGCACGGTCGTCCTGGCAGATTGCGGGGAGAAACCTGATCTGAAGACAAGCGATGCCTTTGCCAAGCAAGACCTCGCCTGCGCCAGGATTGTAGGGAAGAACCCCGATTTTCTTGGAAAGGGGAGGCTGTTATTTTGTATCTGGGTTTGTTGGTTTGGGTCCCGCTGCAAAGAATTTGGGGGCCACGAGGCGGTCCCGAGACACACTTTCGCTGAGAGCCAGCCCAGGTCTTTGTTGGGCGTGTTTGCGTGTGTCTACAGGAGACCTCGGATGTCCTTATTTATAATTTTTTTTAAAAGAAAAAAAAAATCCGAGTCCAAATGTATCCGCTCGATTCGTTAGCCCGCATTTTCCGTCGATCAGAAACCGTTTTATCTTGGAGAGGCAACCAGGCGAAAGCGGAGCGGAGGATTCGAGGGGTGTTAAAAGCTCCCTTCGCTCTTCGGGAGCGGAGAAAACGGCCAGAGAAAATCGCTCTTTCGGGCGGCAGGGGAGCGAATCTCTCTGCATCTCCACCCTCGGAAGGAGGGAAGGAAGGAAGGAAGGAAGGAAGGAAGGAAGGAAGGAAGGAAGGAAAGGGAGGCAGGCAGGCAGGCAGGAAGGAGAGAGAGATGGATGGATGGATGGATGGATGGAAAGAAGGAATAGAGATGAGAAGGAGGAGGGAGGGAGATGGGAAAGAGAAGGAAGGAAGGAAGGATAGTAGGAAGAGAAGGAAAAAAGGGAGGGAGGAAGGCAGGAAGGAGAGGGATGGATGGATGGATGGATGGATGGAAAGAAGGAATAGAAGAGGGAGGGAGATGGGAAAGAGAAGGAAGGAAGGAGAGGGAGGCAGAAAGAAGGGAGGGAGGGAGGGACAAAGGAAACTCAGCCCCTCTGTCTGCCTTTTGAAGGTCCCCCTTCTCCGACCCGTGTAAGGAGCCTCGTCTGAAGGCGACTGACAGAGCAGAGGCGGCTCTTCTCCAAGCCAAATTGGCCGTAGTTTCAGGGCTGCTGCCGCGGCTTCTCCCGTTGGTTCGCATTAGCCTTTGCGTTCCGACGTACAGCAAGCACAAGGAAGACACTTACATACACGCCTTCTCTTCCTCTTCCTCTTCCTCCTCCTCCTCCCTCGGTTGCTAAATTTCATTTTCTCCGGATAACAAGAGATCATTTTGTGGAGAAAACAAAATGCCTGATCATATCTTCCTCCAACCTGCCGCCCTTCAGGTGTGGGGTTACAAATCTCAAGGTGCTGGGAATTCTGGAAACCGTAATCCAGATCCAGAATTTACTGTAATCCAGCAAAAAATGTTCCTTGTATGTGTGTGTGTGTGTGTGTGGGGGGGGGAAATCTGATTTCATCGATCCATTTGCAGAAAGCAAGGGATTCACTGGGCGTAGCTGTTAAGGCGCTGGTCTAGAAACCAGGAGACTGGGAGTTCTAGTTCTGCCTTAAGCAGGAAAGTCAGCTGGGTGTCTTTGAGTATCTCCTTCGCAACCAACTCACCTCACAAAGCAAAAAAAAAAAAAAAAAAAAGGAAGAAATTTTGTGTGTGTTTGCTGCCTGGAGTTACCCATAAAAAAATAAAGGCAGGATTTTAAAAAAAATCAGATCAATTAAAATAAAGAAAACTCTGTACCTAAAAAGGGATCAGTTGGTAGGAGGCACCAGATTGGGGTAGACTGCCCTCCTGATTAAGCACATTTATTTAATTCATTCGATTTAATTTTGGAAAAAAAATCAGGTCCTTCCCCTGGAATTCAAGTAGCAGCTGTCACTTTGGCTAAAATCAAACGGGATCAGCTAATGATTGCTTAAGCCAAGATTGTTCTTAATAATAACAACCAGTAACTCTTTCACAGTCTAGATTATTTGCTAAGAATTGAGTTCTAAAGTATCTTTACAGGTAGATCGCTGGCAAACAACCTTTGGTTATAAGAATTCTTTTGGCAATAAGCGTTATATAGCATCTACATAATCTTACATTTTATATCAATGCAAAATGCATTTTATGTTTTAAGGCATCCCGTTGAGCTTCAGCCTCTTCTCATTCCTCCGTGCTTCTGATTAGCTAGAGAGCAATTTGTAGCTCCTCACCTTAAAAGACAGACTGGGAGATTTCGGCTTTATTCTCTCTAGC